TCTTGCCCTGCGCCTGAAATGTAGTGGTTCTTCCGGGAATTTTTTTTTTTATTTGCGGGTGTTTGATTTTTGAGTTGGCAACACTGGTACTACCAATAGCTGATATTTAAACTAGCCGAAGTCTTTTTCGACTTTGGCTAGGTGGCGCAAGCTAGCGCCCGTTACAAAGGGTATGGCCATTAACATCCATCCATCGAGCCATGCTTGGCTAGGTGGCGCAGTCTACCACTCCTTATAAAAGGGTACAGCAGATGACATTCATTTGCCATCCATGCCGACAACAAGTTCGATGGTGTGTGTAAAAAGTAGGCGGAAGCTCGGAGTCGATGCCATCTAAAACGAATTCCGTCGACAGTCTGACATCGCTCTTACTTTCGTCGAAAAGAACGGAATTAATCCCCCCAAAGACGCCATAGCGAGCGCTTGGCCAATTGCAGTGGTTTGAATAAGAGACCACAGCGACACTTTTCAATAAACCGCAGAGGGCGAAACGAATCATCCAGAGCAATCCGGTGTTATGAACGAATCACGTGATCAAGCGTCCTGCGCGTCGCTCGCTGCGTCCCTCTTCAAGGTCACGTGACACATTAACGGCAATGGCTCGGCTTCCAATGGCTCGTAGCGTCCACTCCGATCCATAGTAAAGTGGAACGAAGTCATTCTTCTAAACGTTACTAGAACAAAGTAATTGAATACAATTACAACTGCTCTCGGCTTAAAGGAGTTCAATCAGATTACTCGACTACTTGAGAGGAAAAGTAATTGGCCATTACTTGAAAAAAATGATCTGATTACTTCGGATTTTCAAAACGACAATCTTTGTTTTTCTGCCGGTTTTGAAATAATGGGATTTTCGTACTGCACATTACCGGACCAGAGTCACCGAATTCTAAACTGATTATCCTCTTTATCCACCAATCTTGGTAAAACAACCTCCTCTCAGAGACCTGATTCGAGGCTTCCTTGGTAGGAAACGTTTACAAACGCGGGACGCCAACAGGCAGGGGAGAAACAATTGTAGCGGTTACGAGTATAATTTCAGTACTTGCAAAAGTAATCAGATTACACTTCCAATTGCTTTCTAATAAATGTAATCAAAATATTATAAAATTGCTTCGAAAAGTAATCGAGTAGGACTAATTTCATTACTTGTAATGAGATACTGTACAATTCTGGGTGGAAATGAGAGGGTAGCGTGCAATTGCTGCGCGGCAGGACGGAATCAACCTGTTAGTTTTTTCTTCTTTTTTTATTTTTTTTGGCTTGGCTTTGTTTCACCTGGTGAGTTAAACGTCGGTTCCCAGGTTTGGGATATGACTTGTAAAAGAACCCTGATTCAATATCCGCAAAATTAAAATGTCGACGACCGGTACGATAAAGAAATCAACAAGGTTTTCTGTCAACATCGATTGTTCGCGAGCTCTTGGTTCTAATTAGCATTTTCACGGATCCGTTCTCACGAATTCTGGCGGTAGTGTTTTTTTTTTTTTTCTTTTCTCACAAGCGTTTGATTGCATGTAGGATTTGCCATGCAAAGATCGGAATTTTCTTCTTTTTTCTTTTTCGTAATTTGAGGTACACGTATGGCGAAAGAATCGTACAAGAATCGTATAAGTATACTCCGTTCACAGCTAAGCTGACAGGATGGGGGAAGCTGCATGCTCGTTTCACTCATCCATCAACGTTTCTACACGTTGATTTTAACATTATTTCTTCATTTTTATTTATTTCACCGATCATCGCATGATAGCAGGCCATTCGAGTTGTTTAAGTTCGACTCAATGTGGCCTGTTCACGCCGGACAAACATTCAACAAATACTGCTTGCAGCAGTGGCGGATTTAGGGGGGGGGGGGGGGGGGGGGGGGGGGGGGGGGAAGTGACCGCCCGCTCACTCCCCCTTTTAAGGCCCCCGAGGTCAACTATTTTCTAATGAAGAATCGGCATACATTAGCTTTCTTAAGGAATACATTATTCGTTTTTCGTGGCATAACAAATATTATGTCAACAAAAGAGATCTGTACAACGCTTCGCTCGTGATGTCATCTCCTTACAACCCCCCCCCCCCCCCCCAACCCAAGCCTGAACCATGAATCCACCCCTTGCATGCAGACGCCGAAAATGCACGTTGTAAACTATCTTTTATTATGGTTGTGCATAAGCAAGTGCTGACGGAAGAAACTTTGAGTGGACATGTCCGTAAAAATATTATTGTAAGATCCTTTTCTCTCTCGCAGTAGGCAGTATCGACTACTACATTTTAACGATTGTGTGTCTGAATTTCCAACAAGACAGAAGATCCAATAGTGGACATTCAGGCTCGCTGGATGTTTTGTCTTATTTGGATCTTCCGTTTACGATGGGCATTTCATCTCGTTGGATATTTAGACTCCCCAGTCACGTGACCAATTAAATATTCAGATTTCTTGCATATTCACACTCGTTGGACTGCCGTCCCGTTGGACATCCAGACCCCTTGCAGATTGCATCTAGATTCGATGTGTCATTGGATATAAGATCTTGGCCGGATGTCTCATTTGATATTCCGTCTTGCCTGCCCCTTGACCAATTGGATGTTCACTCTCTTGGATATCCAGGCCACAGGCGCATTTTATTTTAAAGGGGTGATGCAACCATTTTTGTTTCGCGCAAGTACCGCTTATAAAAGATCCCTGGCGTTAATGACCTGTGAAACAACCGTTCGCTTTTCACCACACGCAATCGAAGTCGCCGAAAAAAAATTAAAAAGAAACGAGCAGCGTTCGCCCCCTCAATTCGCAGCCAGAACAAGCGGCCACGTGATCCGGAGCCGATTATATGCCGTCAATGTTGATCATAAATCAACACGGACTGAGTTCCAGACATTGTTAGGGTTCGGCTATTGCCGTCAATTGTCGTAAAAGGTCATCCCACAACCTGAATGCTTGTTTAGCTATTAAATACTACGAGCCCAAATCGAGTGGCCGCTCAAATGCTCGGGTTCAATCTAAGAGCCGCATTTAAATATTATCACTGGGAAATACTGCGTCCGCCCAGCTACGTCGTCAAAGGGATGGTGAACCGAAATCTGGATTCCACAAAACACGGCGGCAAAAGCGTGCAGTGGAATGCTACAAACACCGAAACATCACTCATACAACGATATATCGAACGCATGACCGTATTTTTCTAAAGAAAAAGGAGGCGCATACGACAGATATGTTGACGTCTTGTTTCTCCGAGAAGAGTCGAGAAGGAGAGGGAACGGCCTCGCGTCTCCTCCGCCTCACCGCCTTGAGGGGGCGAAGCGAAGAGAGGAGGAAACGAGATATGTTGACGTCACGCGCCTCGTCGGCCTAGTTCAATTTCGACTTCTTTTTCCAAGAATACGGCCGTCCATTCGAGATATCGCCTTACGAGTAGTGTTGTAGGGATTGTAGGCGTCCCGCCTACAGCTCCTGCATTGTTTTCTGAAATCAAAAGTTCGGTTCACCATCCCTTTAATTATTGCGAAGGACAAGCTGAATGAAAACGCTCGCTTTTGTCCTCGAAATTACTCCGTTGCAAAGGAATTTCTTGGCCAGTGGTGTTGTGTGCGAGTATCCTTGTGTCCCACTAGTGCCAGTAAGCTCGTGTAGAGTGAAGAAAAAAATAACAAAAAAACGCATTCCA